CCGGGGATAATACTGACTACTCCAACAGAAATTTCAGGCTATGGTGGTCAGTTCGTATGATGAACCTCCTCCCTAGAAGGTAGGGTCGCCACCGCTGAACTGCGAGAACAATTGCTATCAGTTCTCGTTCATATACTGACTTGGCCCATTTTTGTGCTGTCAATGCTTTGCTAAAAAACGCTAGTGGCCTTCCTTCTTGCATGAGAGTCGCACCCACTCCCTGGCTTGACACATCACATTCAATGATGAAGTCCTTTGAGAAATCTGGAAGTGTGAGTGTCAATGGGGACGAGACAGTTGTTTTGAGTGTCTCAAAGGCCTGTTGGGCCTCCCTAGTCCAGTAGAATCCATTCTTCCTGAGTAAACTTGTCAAGGGGGCAGCAATCAGTCCATACCCTCTGATGAATCGCCCGGTAGTACCCTGTTAGACCCAAGAAGGCCCGTAACTCCTTAACATTTTGAGGTTGGGGCCAATTTATCATGCTTGAGATCTTTTTCGGGTCTACCGCTATAGTGTTGTTTTCGACTACGTGCCCCAAGTAGTGTACTTGAGTCTATCCGAATGCACACTTTGACTCCTTTGCAAAGAGTTTATGAGTCCTTAGTAGTTCCAAAGTGATTTGTAGATGCACTAGGTGTTCGTCCCATGTAGCACTATATACAAGTATATCATAAAAAATAAAAAAAAAAACTAGTATAAATTTGCACAAATGGGGTCGAAATATATCAGTTATAAGTGCTTGGAACATAGCTGGCACATTGGTCAACCCAAACGGCATGACCAAAACTCATAATGCCCATCGTGTGTACGAAAGGCGGTCTTGTGGATGTCACCCTCATGGACCCGAATTTGATGATATCTCGATCTCAAGTCTAGTTTGGAGAATATTGTGGCCCGGCCGAGTTCATCTAGTAGTTCATCGATTACCGATATGGGAAATCGATCTTTCACAGTAATGTTGTTCAGGGCCCTATAGTCTATACAAAACCACCATGTCCCATCCTTCTTTTTCACAAGTAATACCGGTGAGGAGAATGGGCAATGGCTAGGTTGTATAATTTTTCTATCAAGCATATCTTGCACTTGTCTCTCAATCTCTAGTTTCTGAAAATAGGGGTAACAACAGGGCCTTACATTCGTGGGTGTCGTTCCAGGCAGCAAGAGAATGCAATGATCGTGGGCACGTTCCAGTGGTAGTTCCTTAGGCTCTTGGAAGATCACTGAAAACTTCTGAAGTAACTGTTGTAGTTGTATGTGGGCTTCTTCAGATCTGCTGAAGTTACTTCCTTGGGCTAGAATTGGGCCGTTCCCGTGGGGGTCTATCTGCATTAAAATGATGTGGGTTGGGCCTGCTGCCTGTTTTCTTAGGGTGGCGAGGCTAATGGACCCTAGATCATTGGACATCTGCCCTTGAATATGCACCTGTGATTTTCCCACTTGAAAGTCCGTTGTGAGACGGGCAAAGTCACATATCACCAGCCCTAGTTGCCTTAACCATTGGACTCTGAGAACTACATCTGCTCCACTGATTTCCAAGGGATGTAGATGTAGATCTACCTCGAACTCGTGTCCTTGTATCTTTAGTTTTAATCCTGTGCATGTACTGTCGCACACCAGATTGCTCCCATTAGCTACGTGCACCCGGAATGCTGTATATGGTTGGACCGAAATCCCTAGTTGTCTGACCAATGTTTGAGTAATGAAATTGAGGGAGCTACCACTGTCTATAAGAACCGATACATGGCGCCCTTGTATCAGTCTGGTTACTCTCAAGGTTTGAGAGGAGGCAAGACCAGTCAAGGCTTGCAGGGATACTTCCGGGTATTCTTTTGTCCATTACTCCCATTCTTGGTTGTCCACTGGCTCGTTGATGTCTGCTGATTCCTCTGCATTTTCGGTTTCGGGCTGAAGGAAGAATACTTGTTGGATCTTACAACGATGGCCCGGTCCAAATTTGTCTCCACACGCATAACAAAGGCCCTTTTCTCATCAGGCTTGCATCTCGGCCCATGTTAACCTCTTGGTTGGGCCGAGTGGGCCTGAACCGGAGTTGGCTTCCTTGCTTGTGATTCCCACTCCTGGTTTGGACTCCAGTTTACCCAAGATACCAGGTTCCGGATTCGGTATACCTAGTCTGACCACAGCTCCCAGGGGTCGATTAATCCTTCTTGCCCGATTCAGTTTGTCTTCATGGAGTCGAGCTAAGGCTGCTGCGTCAAGAACGGTGGTGGGTTGCATGTCTTTAACCTCCAGCCGCAGTTCTTCCTTTAGTCCACTGACAAAACTGCCGACCAATGCATTTTCTGGCCACCCTTGCATGCACACAGCTAACCTCTCGAACGCCATTTGATAATCTTGGACGGAGCCGGTCTGTCGTAGCTTGGCGAGGCTTTCATCATAGTTTTCAAAAGCCGAGACACCAAATCTCATGGTTAAGGCATCGGTGAAGTCCGCCCATGTGGCTCTTGGTGTCGTCGCCGGTACCACTGGTACCAAACGATCGCCTCTCCTTCCAAGTGTGTGAAAGCTAGTGGAACACAATCAGGTCCAGGCGTATCGTGGTAATCGAAGTACCTTTCGGTTCGCAGAAGCCAGGACGTGGGATCCCCCCCTACGAAGATGGGAAACTCGATTCTCGCCATTTTGGTGGTTCCTGATCCGCTTCGATGACTGGTGTCACTGCATTCTTCTTGCCCTTCCTGATTCGAAACCAGTGGTGTCTGTTCTAGTCGCCCAAGCAAGGATGCGAAGCTCTCTTTTATTTCTTTAATGTCCGCCGATAATCTTTGCATTTCTCCTTCCATGTTGTCAACTTTGTTCTCCATCGAGGATGACCTTGTGCTCAACAGGAAGCCTGCCTCCTGAAACGAGAGAGAAAAGAGAGAGAGAAAGAGGGAGAGAGAGAGAGAGACTGGATTCCCAGAATCAATGCTGACTCTTCTGGACTTCCTTTCGTTATTTATAACACTCAGTTACAATTCTGTTATATCAGCCTCTTCACTTGTCCAGTTTGTTATGTAGTTTGTTCGAGTGGTTGGCTTTTAGTTACATTACTTAAAGGCTGATGTGGCCTTTTCTTGTACACTTGTCCCTCTGTTCCACTTATTTGTGTCTTAACACATTTTCCAAAGTATGATAAGAATGTGTTAAAAAACATTTGATAAAAGGGATCTGATGCTTAGAGTCAAAGCCATCTACAAAGGGCCGCCTCAACATCCAAAAGTGTTCACATTAGCAAATAATTGGAAATGGACATAATTCCATAGTATGTTGGTAAATGCCTAAACCCAGCATTAGCCTTTTTTTAAATCAGCAAATCCAGTATTAGCATCAACTTACAGTAATCTGAAAGGAGTTTTCTACAAAGAATGAAATGGATAGAAATGAATATTTCCTTCTTAACAGGCTCCATACCACTACTAGAGTTTGACAGGAATATAAATAACTCCAAACCAGCCTGCTTCCAAAGGAACCAAGCAATTTCATTTTATTCAACGTTCATGGACAACAAAGTCTACAAAAAATCAAGCAGAAAGCAGAACATGGTTGGGTGACAACTCAAAGAGAACTTACTATAACTTATTGTACTGGTAAATGTTAAAATTACAGGATAGGGCTGTACACAGGTCAATTCGGTTCGGTTGTATATAATTTACCCAACCAAACCGACATCCTCAGGTTCGCATTCTCATCATCCAAAAACGGCTGAGATAACCTGAAAACCAACCTAAACATAGACTTCTCGGTTTGGTTGGTGATGTAGGCGCATGTGGCAAGGCCTAGGAGCGCCACGTGGCATCGGTCAGATGCAATCCTGGCCGCCCATTGCCAACCACCTTCAACCACTCCCAAGGCAAGGTCAAGTATAAACAGGGGTGCCCCTCTCTTGGTAAGGCCATCTTGCTCCTCATTGCTCTCTAGCTCTCTTGCACTCAAGTGACCTCGTCTGAACCCTCTCCTCAGGCCTTGTCCAACCCCTCTCGTATGCTTGACTACCTCGACCGCCAGACTCCGCCCCTGGGATAACACCCGGGGCCTCTGACTTGCTCTCTTATTTTCAGGTCGGACACATCAGCCCTCGGCTAAGGAAGCAGATTTGCCTTGTTGCCCTCGGCCCAACCTTGGCAGCAACAGTTGGTTTCTCAGTTTGTCGGTTGGTCTATACGATTACCTATATCCTATTGATTTTAATTAAATGAATACTCGTAACTGTAACTCATAATCCCTATCTGCATACATCTACATACACTTCCAAACCCACAGCTCTTTAATTTCACTCGTTTCTCTCCCTGCCTAGTGCTTAGATGTACTCATGTGATTGATCTCCACTGTGTAACAGAAACAATGGTGTAGAAACTGAGAGAGGCTAGTTATTGTGTCACAACTCACATGCAGTTACATCCACATATATGGTTACAGCTGTATTATTCACCAATCCAACTTTCTCTCTCTAGCCCTACTGCAGTTCACAAAAAGAATTTTTAACTTTTGAACTTTAGAATCCATCAAGAGAGGTTAAAGGCTAGAGCCTAAAAAGTAAAAAGGACAACATTTAATGTATGTAGTACTATGTACCATACATTTCATTCTCCAAGTGTTCAGGTTTTATTTTTTCTTGAACCAAAACTGATCGTTAACATTTGAAAACGACCAAATCGGCTTGAATGGATTGGTTTGGTCGGTTTGATTCATTTCGTGAACAGCCCTAATACAGGATAACTGTGGGACTCAAACAACCAAAAGCATTATAAAATTTAAACTGAGCAATTCATGTGTATAAAAGTTGCAAGTTCAAGATCAGGATTTAGCATGTTCTCATGCAGAATTTAATAGAACAAAATAGTTAGTTGAATCTGACAATTTAGAAGTTTGTTATGTGACCTTATCAGCAAGTTATTAAATATAAAATAACCATGGCACCATCTCAGAGTAATAATTCAAAGGAGTCAACAAAACCATCCAGATAAACAACCAAAAGGAGAATGCATTAGGAAGTTACCTGGCTTGAAGAATATAGACAACCCAAAATCAATTGTTTTAAGAGGCGATTCCTCCTCTTGATTGACAAACAGGAAATTCTCAGGTTTAAGGTCTCGATGCATAACCCCCAAAGAATGGCAGGCTTCAACAACACCAACTATGATCCTAGCAAGCTCAGCTGCCTTTCTTTCTGTATAATGACCCCTCTGAACAATCCGATCAAAGAGCTCGCCTCCTGCACACAACTCCATGATCACATAAACTGCAACAGCATCCTCATAAGCCCCTTCGATGGAGATAACATTGGGATGGCCAGCCAAGTGGTGCATTATCTGAATTTCCCTCCTCACATCCTCGACATCCTCTTCTGTAATCAATTTCCTCTTCGCAATGGATTTGCATGCATACTCTTTCCCAGTTGTTTTTTCCACACAGAGAAAAGTAGTTCCAAACTGCCCTTGACCAAGCTTCCTCCCCAAACTAAACCGTTCCTTTAGATAGCCTGTCCTTTTTGTCAACACAGACTCCACCTGGAGCCCAGCACTCGGCGCTCTCTTATGGTGGGGCTTCTTAGGATTTGCAGGCGGCGCTGGTTTAGTTTCCTCTTTGGGAATCTTCACCTGTTCTGGGGGTTTGCTTTGAACAGACGAAGGCGCTGCAGGGTTTTCCTTGGCAGATGGTGTCTCACTGGCTGCATCTCCATTAGTATGAGAAAGCCCCTCATCAGGCAATCTGGACCGCCACATTGCAGCTGAAACTGATTGAAAGAATCCATTATTTGAAATACTCGGTCCAACACAACTGTTCCCCATCTGAATCCACTCTCACTTCCTACCGCACTCTCTTCAATCCTCCACTTTCAACATCCAAATCCAGCCTTTCCCATCATACTAACATAACAAGAAGTAATTGAGATCTCTAAGGTCAAACCAATTCCTCTAAACATATTTTAAATTTTCAAAGTAAAAAAAAAAATGCAGAACAAAGCTTACTAATCAATCAAACTGTATTTGTTCCAAAACGAATAACTCAACTATTAATAGATGGTTCTCTTCTTTTACACAATTTTCTATCTAGAATTTCTACCCAGATCCCACACTAAACAAGAGGATGGACTGTAAATGTAGAGAAAATTTCTTCGAATGGCAGGTGTTCGACAAAGTCAACACAAAGACCAATAACAAAATGAACCCAGAAAACCCAAATATAATTAGAGAAAACTACGACCCAGAACTGGAAAAACTGTCTGAACAAAAACTCTATCATCCGATAACGGATCCCCACAAGATAAAATCCAGTACAAATTAAGGCAACACTAAAATGAAAATAATCAAAATTAAACAGTTCTGCTTCGATTTCAACGACGCGAATGCACCGAATAAGAGACAGTCAGATCATGAATAAACCAGGGAAGTAACTGAACAAGAAGAAAGTACTCTGCAGCAATTCAGCAAAAAATACATAGAATCAGTAAGTACGAGCAGAGAGAGGGATAGAGTCTTTTGTTTACATTATAGGCGTTCGGACATCGGATGATACCATTACAGATCTTCAGATACGGTTTCTTTTTTTTTTTTTTTTACCAAAAAACTCATTGGGCAAGGTATTATTACAAATTTACAATAAAAACATGATTAATTAATAATTAATATTGGAGATTAATACTTAATTACATGGATTCAATTGCTGAGGAATCCATAAAACTCTCGCTGATGGAATTTCATATCAACCACTCGATTGATCGCTCGAGCCTATCGAAAGGGTGGCCCACTAGATGAATGGCCAAGATTGATGGATAAAGAAGAGATGTAATTGTGTCAATGTAGTCAAAAGCATTAAAGAAAGCAGATTTTTTTATTTTAATTTACACGGTTTTGACTTTATTTTCCTCTTTTTTTCTTTTCTTTTTCTTTCCCTGCACAATGACGAATTCGGCAAAGCGCTGTCGGGCAGCGCAATCATCGCGCATGTGACTGTGGCCCATGTTGGTTTGGTGGAGCAGTTACTGAACAAAAGCAAACCCTTGATCAACGAACCTGAACCGTTTGATAGTGCTGGATCAAGATCAATAATTTCCCCCTTATCTGTTCTTAGCTTTCTTCATGATGTGAAACGGACCGGTTAATAATTGCAGCGGGTCAAACTGGGTCCGACCAGAGCAACTAATGGCGAAAGCAAAACCCTTTTTTAGGCTTTTAATATCATGGTGGGTGGGGAGGCTGGGCCCGTATTAGTATCATAGTGGCCCATGGTACTAAAGGACAACAAGAGGCTAAGCCCAGATTAACCTGGCCCACCTGATCAAAGACTGTTGAACTGAAACAAGACATGCTTTAAATCTTGTTTAGATAAGGCTAAAATGTTGCACAATGTGGCTATGAAAAAGCCAAACAAGTCTTATCCACATCTCCATCTTTTGTATCGTAATGTTTGGCGCAATTAGAGCTTATTGCTTGATGAAATGGTAAAATTTCGGACTTTTAAGTGTGAGACTGTAGGTTTAAGATTAAAAAATGGTCACTTTCTGAACCAAGAAAGAAAAATGAAATCCACAATTTGACTCTATAGCTAATCTTCCCTCCCAAGACTTTGGATAACTAGGGCCTAGGAGACCGGGACCATAAAGCTCAGCTCTTACGGCTCGCTTGAGAGGGTTGAGCTGAAGATTTAATCAAAGTAGTTCAGCTGCTTTTGAACACTTCCTATAAACTATTCAAAGAGGCTGAAGCAAAAAGTTCTTCACCAAACATTGCCAGTAGGCTATCCCATATAAGGCCCACCTTGAAAATCCAAAAGCCGCTAAACTTCGGTGATATAATTGGTTGGTCCAAAGGAACACATGGCCTCACCTAGAGGAGGCAACATGATGAGCGATAATTGAGTTAGTTACAATTCTGAGATCGTTATGAATATTGTTATAATCATTGTAATCATGCCAACTTGGCGTGATCATTTATGTGTAATGGTCACCTTCTATAAATGTAATCGAAAACCATGAATAAGGATCATCGAGAAATTATCTTTCTGTTACTTGTTGTCTTTTCCCTTGTAAACAGTGGTCTCCACTATAGCTCGGGGTCGAAAAAAGGCTTCTTCCTGTCTCCGGAAGGTAACTGATATCATTTTGGTATCAGAGCCAGGGGAGGTTGACGAAGAAGACAGGAGAATGGCCGAAGAAGAAGACAGGAGAATGGGCGAAGTTAAAGAACGTATTAGTAACTTGGAGAGTAACCATAATGACATCAAGGCTTGTCTTGTAGAGATTTTGGATCGCCTCAACTTCCTCAATGCTACAAGTGGGAAGCTAGAGATAAGCCTCCAGTGGAGTTGTGGCTCCTAATCGCGACCCTATCGGTTCGATACACACAGGGGGGTCTCAGTTTCTTCCACAACGGCGACTTAAAATAGAGATACCTAAGTTTGGGGGAGCAAACCTGGATGGATGGCTACTTTTAACTAAGCAGTATTTTATTCTTCATGAAGTCCCCAAGGACTGGCGGGTCATTGTAGCGAGTATGGGGTTTGAGGGGAATATTGTTGAATGGTATTGCTGGTTCAACAAATGCAACCCTTAGCCCAGTTGGCAACAACTCACATCTGAGCTCGATGACATATTTAACAGAACCTTGGGGGAGAATGTAGCGAGGCAATTGTCCAAGATAATACAAACCTCTTCTATGCATGATTACATCAAAGAATTCCATATGCTCTCTTGCCATGTCAAGGGGTTGCCAGAGGACTATCTAGTTGGGTGTTTTGTAGTCGACTTAAAACCAGAAATTAGGCCTGGGTTGCTAATTTTGAGCCATCCATCATTGCCAAAACCTTAAGGTTGGCTCGCTTGGAAGAGGAAGAGTGGCTGGCTAGAAGGAGACAGAGTAAGCCTAAACTAGGGAAACCTTGTACAGTAGGGATACTGGCCAAGGCTCTGACCAACACTAGCACCAAGGTCTTGCTGGAAGTGAAGCGTCTCTCTCCTGCAAAAAAAACCCATGAAAGGAGAGAACGTGGTCTCTGTTTTAATTGTGACAAAAAATATATTCCACAACATCAATGCAAAAATCATAAATTATTTTGGATTGTGGGTGATATGGAGGATGAGGAGATAGGTGAAGAAGAAGGTTCAAGGGAAGACTAGATGAACGGGACAAAGAGTGATACACCTAAGATCTCTCTTCATGCCATATCAAAGGGCAGCTCGTCACACATGATGAGGTTACAAGGTGTGTTGGGTGATCAACAACTCATAATGTTGGTTGACAGTAGCCAACGGAGACTTCTTAGAAGGAGCTACAAAATGTTTGCGAGTACTCATCAAAACTCAAGGAGGTACTATGGTTGTTGATTTTCATTTACTTCAACTACAAGGTTATGATGCTATCTTAGGCACCAAATGTCTCACAACACTAGGGCCAGCAATTGGGGATCTAGCAAACTTAACCTTACAATTCACAGATGAACTAGGCACCCACACACTAAGAGGTATCAATTCACCATCTCTAAGGATGCTAGGAGCCAAGAAGGCCCTACAGTCACTAATGAAGGAAGGCCACATTTTCCTCATGCAACTTGGACACATAACAGAACCTCAAGGTATTATTGATGTAGACCCTTAGACTAAAGCCATGCTTACAGAATTTGAGGATGTCTTCCAGTCCCCAATTGGGCTTCCACCTCCTCGGTACTGCAACCATTCTATACCTTTGATTGAAGAAGGGAAACCCATCAGTAGTCGGCCTTACAAATATCCACATGCCCAGAGAAAGAAAATTGAAAATATAATTTTTGAAATGCTAAAGGAAGGTGGTTAGAGGCTTTTTGAAATATTGTTTTTGAAAATATTATCCAGCTGAGCTCTAGCCCCTTCTCAACACTGGTTCCTTTAGTTAAGAAAAATGATGGTGGTTAGAGGCTTTGTTACGGGGCCCAAAATCGCATGACCATTAAAAAATGATTTCCTATACCTGTTATTGATGAACTAATAGATGAGCTCCATGATGCCAGAATTTTCTCCATGCTTGACCTTAGGTCTGGGTACCACCAGGTACGGGTCAACCCCATTGATATTCCAAATACTGCCTTCCACACTTCAGAAGGGCATTTTGAATTTCTGGTGATGCCTTTTGGGCTTACCAATGCCCCAACTACCTTCCAGTCTCTAATGAACTATGTCTTCAAGGAGTATCTACGAAAATTCATATTGGTATTTTTTTATGATATCCTGGTTTATAGTAAGACTCAAGAAGAGCACTTGGACATTTGAGGGCAACTCTAGAAATTATGAGAAACCACAAGTTGTATGCCAAAAGAAGTAAATTCCAATTAACCACTAAGAACATTGGGTATCTTGGACATGTAATCTCACAACAAGGGATTGTAGTTGATCAAGTTAAAATTCAGGCCATGGTCTCTTGGCCTAAATCACAAACCATTAAAGAGACGAAAGGGTTCCTTGTATTGACAGGATACTATCACAAGTTCATAAAAAAATATGGGTTGATTGCAACACCACTCACTAGAAGGCTTAAAAAGAATGAATGGGGATGGGATGATTCTACAGAAGATGCCATTAAGGAAGCAATGACATCAGCCCTTGTGTTAACTCTTCCAAATTTTAGTCAGGCTTTTACTCTAGAATGTGATGTTAAGTGGGCATGGCTTAGGAGTTGTTCTTTCACAAAATGGAAAACCCTTGGCATTCTTCAACAAGGCATTGAAGGGGCAAGCCTTGAATCTTTCAACATATGACAAGAAGCTCTTGGCGGTAGTGGTGGTGGTTCAAAAGTGGAGGCCATATCTATTAGGAAACTGATTCAGCATTCTCATTGACCATAAAATTTTGGGTTACATCTTACAGCAACGTTTGACCACACCAACCCAACAACGACTTCTCAGTAAATTAGCTGGATATGGTTATGAGATCAAGTATCAAAGAGGGAAAGAAAACATAGTGGTTGACGCCCTCTCAAGGCAGGCCAAAGGGGAGCTGATGGCAATCACGGCTCAAGTTCCTAGTTGGAAAGAAGAGTTAAAGAAGGAGGTTGCAAACTTGCAATTGATACCTATCTACAGAAGTTTATCACTGGGGACAGAGATATGAATTCTCCATATGAATGGAAGGCATGCCTCTTGTGGAAGCAAGGTCATATTGTTCTTAGCCCCACATACCAATTCCGAAGAAGATTGTTTGCAAAATCCCACGAGACACCTAAAGGAGGACAATCATGGTATTTAAATACCATACAAAGACTGAGGAGGGTGTACTGGTGGAAGGGATACCAAAAGGAGATTAAGAGGTGAATCAAGGAATGTGACATCTGCTAGAGAAACAAAACAGAGAATGTTCCCACATTGGGGTTGTTGTAGCCACTGACCATTCCATCACAAGCCTGGACTAACATCTCCCTTAATTTCATAGGACTGCCAACTTGGAACAATAAATCTATAATTCTTGTGGTAATTGACAAGTTTACAAAATATGGACACTTCTTGCCATTCTCTCAT